AAAGAGGTACCTGGGCAACGTTTGTTGGGACAGAGTGGGCCAAAACCAAACTTAAGGAACCTAAACTGGTGTTGACAAATTTCTGACATTATTGTCATTAGCACGTTGAACAATTCATGTAACTTCTTTCCATTCTTGTACCTAATGAGTGGAAAAGAAAACCGTCGTTATTTTTCTTATTTTCATTTCATTCTATTCATTGTGCAGGGAAAACGTGGTAATTGCCAGAACAGGCAGCAGTAAAAAGTGCAAAAGTTTGGTGGAAGAGTCAGTAATCAAGGCAAAAAAGCGACCAAAAGAGATACTATGAAATTACAAGCTATCAGTGCATAGAGAAAGAGGCATATTTCTCGTTGAAAAATCAACGGACCATATTTCCATTTTTCTTTTAAGCAAAGGCATTAAACAGGAAATGAAATACACTGATTGAGAGGGTACACTGAACTTCAAGTGTAAAGTAACTCAACATGCCTTGCACTGATTTTAATCTGGTTGAACTTTGGGCAGGTCTCCGCAAGGAAGAAGAAGCTGTCACCAAACGAGAAGATGGCCATCTCCTTTGCTATGATTGGCCTCATGCCACTGCTGCTCTTGCTCTTTGCAGCTGTGCGAACAATGAAGTACTGGAAAAGGGCAGGGGGGAGAAAACCAAGAAAATCAAACATCAGAACTTTATCCATATTGCAAATAGCCTGCCAGGTTCTGAGACAAAGCCTCTCCCACTTTCTTTTCAGAGTTTTCTCTTTGAGGTGGAAGGGGACGATGAACTCCCTTGTCCTTGTGTTTATGACCTCGCCCTCATCGTGCTCACTGTGGTCTTCGGGATCTTCTACTCGTGCTGAAGCTGAAACAGGGCACAGCAAACCACAGACCTCCAAGATGGCTACTAGGTCGGAGGCCGGGCTGTCAAAATTTTTCCAAACATGATGCAAAAGCTCTATGTCTGCCATGCCCTGGTTTTGCAGCTTTTGCCACTGAGGGTGATGCTCTCGATCAACATCCAAATGATTTGCTATATCATGAAGACACGTCATTACATCAACCAGGTACTGGGGGTTTATCACTACCAGATTGCCTATCTCAATGTTCTGCGTCTCAGGTCCGATTAACTCTCCTGAAAAAAAAAATTGCCTTGGGGTAGTTTGGTAATGTCTTAAGATATGTTCTCTTTTTCACTAAGCACTTGCTACTTTATACCTTGGCTATTCCCAAATACTTGATCTTCTTCAAATTGCAAATGCATGAGTCAGTAAACTTAAAAAAGTATGGTATGAAAAACAGCAATGGACTGGCATCTAATTTACGGGGAGGTCTCGTTAGTAACGCTTCCATTACCTTATTTCCTTACACACCTTCGAAACCAACGATCAGCGAAGGGCTGTCGTGGTAAGACTTACTTCAAACGTGTCATTTATTCAAGCTGATGATCACGCTTACTTGTTTTCGTTATCACTGAACTGCGCAGCCATTGTAAGCAAAGATATTTTTTTCAGTCACCCCCTACCTGGCAGGATTATCACGCCACTGTCGTGATAAAAGCGCAGCATACTTTCAAATGTTTCATCCGTGACATCAAAGTTGCTTTCTACTAGCATATTCTTGAGGAAAGCCTTAGTTACACAGGCTGGGCAGTCTGACTTCTCCCTACACTTGAGAATTTCTTCTTCAAAGTGCAGCCACAAGACAGGCAATTCCTCTTCCATCAGCTTAAGGCGGGAGGCTTCTTCTTCGATTGTATTCTTTAATAACAAAGCTCCCTCGTCTGCTCTACCAAGAGTGTTTTCCACTGAGAATAAAAAATTCTTCTCTTGGTTTTTGACCAATTGTTAGGAAAAGGTCGCAGCAAATTCATCATACAGAAGTTGCTCCGCGTTAGATATGTCTTGCTCGCTGACATCATTGCGATGCGTTCCCACCAGGAACACTGGTGTGGTCTGAGGAGTGTGGACACGGACAGAGTTGAGCCAGAAATGAAGCTGTTTTAAAGCTTGGTCTTTTCTCGTAGGATCACACAGTTGAGTGAGATTCGTCACGACAAGGTAGAAGGAGCGTCTGTTCAAAAACACGTGATGCATGGCTTGGTACAAGGGATGGCCTGCAAAATCCCAAATACTTAATTTGATGTATTTTTTTCTTTGAGTTCCAGCGAAGCTTCACTCAGTTTCCTTGTAATTAGGTCTCCCGGTATGTCTCTCGTAGGTGTCTGCGCACTTCTAGATCTCGTGAAGGGGACCAGGCTTGTTTGGTCATCAGCATCATCAGAGCTGGCATCACCCTCTTGGTGTGCAGGACCACATTCGATGCTTGGAAGTCGCCTTCTGGAAGGTGGATGGCGTCTCTTTTGACATGGCAACGAGGGTCCTGGATCTGAAAAACTCGATTGATACACAGCTGAACCCCCTTTGGCCTCATTGGAATTTTTGAACCCTTCACAAACTCTATCTGTTAAAATTTCATCTACAAAAGACTTGTTCAGGTCTGTTACATGCCAAGAATCATCAAGTTCTGTCACCTCAACCATTGAAGTATCGATTCCACGAGTCTCGATTCTTTCTTCCACAAAATCCTCTCCTCTGAGATTTCGAACAAGGCTTGTCTTTCCCGCCCCAACATCTCCAATAACTGTGAGCTGGAGTCGAGCCACCTTCGCTTTGCCTTTATGAAGGGCTTGGTTGAAGATTTCTAATGTTTCTTTTCCCTGGCAAGAACTTCATATGGTTTACTGCACAGTTCTGATTCGAGACAAAAAAACAACAACTTAGTAAGAGCAGAATTGTTTTTGCCTGTAATGTTGAATCAGAGAGCTTTATCCTCTCTTGGCTGAATAAATGGATCGGTAATATTATCTACGTAGGTTCCAAACGATGATCACTCATGTGTCTGGATGTGGTTAACTTGAGTCCAGCGTTTACCTACCGAAATGACTGAGACATAAAGAAAATAACAAGTACGATGCTTAAGACTAGGGTTCATATTAAAAGCTTGAGGATTTCCGACAGCACTTCAAGTGGCTTTTCGTTACCATATTCAACAAAAGTGAGGCTTAGGAAGCTCTAATCTGACTTATATTCACCACGGTCGTTGCACCCCTAATCATATATTTGCGAGAAGTATCACGTTCTGTTCACTTTTTGAAACAATAAGGATCACCTCTAATATCACTGACTGAATACAGGCCAACCGTGAAAACAATTAATTACACATAATAAATATCTGATTACAGAAGTGGACTGGAACTGCAGTTATACACCACACCACAGCATCACAGACGTGTACACAATTTCACTTAATACCTTCAATTTCGCTGTTTAATTGAAACGGTTGCACTTGATTTCCAGTATGGCTTCTTTCACTGCCCTCGCAGTCTGCAATGACCTCCTCTACACGACGTATATTGAGCTGCTGCTGAAAACTATTTTGGTGATGAAGTCTGTTCAATACATGTTCAATTGCTTGGAAATATTTCTGTCGCGAATGAAAACCAGCTGTTGCCCCGCGCATAGTTCGTTGACCAACGAATGACAACAATTTTAGGTTTTGAGATAGATATATTAAGGTAATCACTTTGAGATTAGCATAGGTTTATTTAAAAAAAGATTTAAAGACATAATACAGAAAATAAATTATGTATCAGATAACGAATTTAGAGAGTGAAGTTAACGAAAAATCAGGCATATAATTAAGTGCTCGGATGTGCACCACTCACCGGCAAGATGGAATAATATTATGGACAAACAGCCCTGATGATCGGATGCCAAGGATAACGGAGTATCTCCATTTTGGTCAGGTCTATGTAAGTCGCCTCCATTCATGAGTAGCAACTTGAGGCAATTGGCATGTCCCCTCCAAGCAGCAAGATGGACAGGTGTTTTACCATCCTTAGGATCAGGAACATTTGGCTCCCCATCTGACCAACTGAGTATAATCTTCAGGCATTCGTAGTGGCCACCGAAGGTGGCACAGTGCATCGGCGTGAATCCCATCTGGGATTTCGAACAAGGTCGATGGGAATCTCCCGGTTCGTTGGCGTACTCATTTCTCATAAGGCTGTCAACAACTTGAAATTTACCAGTACACGCAGCGTGATGCAGATCTCTTAGATGATGTCGGTTAGTGTTTAGATGTTGGATTAAAGCTTCTGTACAGGAGAAGGATCTTCCACAGTGAATGCAACTTTCGGGTACATCGGGAACAAAGTGTTTTGAGTTGTGTTTTAAATGTTGTATCAAACTTTCCTTATCAGTAAATGCTCGATGACACCTTGAGCAGTGGTCTTTCGTTCTAACACACGGCAAATCTTTGTTGTAAAATGGCATTTCTTTCTTAAAGACGTAGTTTTAAATGAAAAAGGTTGATTCTAAGAGCACAGCTCAAACATTTGTGGACTCCTTTGTGACATTTCCCGGAAGCAGGCATCGTTTCCATTCTTCCTCAGTCATTTCAGTTCGGGTCGTCGCCTGGGCTCTATAATGGCTAAAATCGCAGCTGATCGAGAAAATAGCAACGCATGAGCCAAGAACATACCAATAAACTGGTAAGTTGAATCGTTTTCTGATAAAAATTCCAGCGAGTCTTATGAATTTATTACCTGATTCCCATAACAATCCTTTATGTTCACAGCCATTTTTTTTTGTCATAGACATTCTTTTGCTCGTCACGCAATCCTCCCCATTCGTGGGGCAGTCGGGCAGAAACGCGTGACGATCCCCTAAGAACGTCTGCGTTAGCCTGAGAAAACAGCCGACATTTGACGACGCTACCACTGCCTTCCCCGCCAAATGACACCTGAGAAACGAGTGTAGCTAAATGACGTGGATCGTGGGTGTGGGTAAATATCGTGGATAAAAAAAAGTTTCCAAAAAAACTTAAAATTAAAAAAATTAACTAAAAAGGCATTTCGGCGAAAAATAAAAGAAACTCTGAACACTGTGTTAACCTGAAGCAGGCTAAAGAAAAAATGGAGACTAAACTGCTTTTCCTCAAAGATGTCAACATTCGTGACTGAAACGTCCTTTCAGTTTAAGTAATGATATTCAGAATCGTTTTGACAAAGATTTTGCAATGTACACAAGACAAAACATGCATGCAAAAAAGAATCGAGAAACGTATCTTTCTGTACGGCAATAAAATTTAAATCATGTAAATTTTATTGCCGTACAAAAAGATACTCGCCTTAACTTGAAAAGTTGATCATGAAAGTGGTTCCTCCTAAGCTAACAGACCTAAAACTTCTTTAAGAAAGACTTCTATCTAAAAATATGAAATAGCTCAAAA